CAGGTTGACATAAATGCTGCCCCTGTTCTTGCATGACACTGAGAATAAATGCCTCCTTCTACTTCACATCACCTGCCTACACTAGTCCCAGCTCTGCCCTGGGCATTCTTGCTAAGTGTGCAAAGAATGCAATGCCCGGGGTTCTCTTTACTTGGATCATTTCTCAAGGCTGAGTTTGCAGTGAGCAACCTTAAGAAATAAAATAATTTCTTTTCTGAGCAAAAAGCAAACTTGTTTCCTCATGTTATAGAAGCGGTAAACACCAGAACAACACCCACCATGGCATCTGCCAGGCCACCCCTCCCGTGACCAGTGATTATGCCACAGTCCCTGCCGACCACGTGGAGTTCTATGCTGAGTCTAACTCCGAGGGTGCCAGTGCCAACGCCCCCGGGCCTTCCATCCTGGCCTACACCTGTGTTGCTGCCACCAACCCTGACCAGGACGGTGCCAGCGCCCACGCACCCAGGACTGCCCCCGCCTCCGAGGAGGACCACAATACCAGCCCTGACCAGGATGGTGCCAGCGCAGACCCGCCTGGGGCTGCCCTCCACAAAGACGCCCCCAAGGCCACCAATGCAAAACTTGACCCAGAAGCCGCCTGCACCTACTCGCCAGGGGCGGCCCCGGCTGAGGTCCATGACACCATCTCCTCCAGTGCCTCAAAAGCCTTTGAGGAGGTTCAGCTCGACTTCAAATATGACCCTAAGAAGAAGGCGGAACTCCAGGGCACTACAGAGAGATTCACTGGCCTGTCCATGGGTCCCTATTTGCAGAAGGGTCCCGAGGGAATTATCCTGCGTGAACTCACAAATAAGCTGCAGCCAGACTCAGTCTCCAGGATCAACCACCCCATGCAAAGCAGGCACCCGCTAGAAAATCTCTCCAACTTCAACAAGGCCATTGTCAGCCACCTGTGAACCCCGGGGAGCAGTTCCAGCCCAATGACCTGCTTGAGAGCCACATGAGGCAGGGGCAGGTGTCTCCCCTGGCTCAGTCTCTGGCCGAGACCAAGGGGCTGCGTGTGGCATGAACATCGGCATCAACTACATGGAAAAGCAGGAGCGGAACATAGATGATGCCACCTTGAGGGTGGGCCAGCACATCATGGGCCTCCAGGGGGGACCAATAAGTGTGCCAGCCAGTCAGGCATGATGCCATGTGGCATGAGAAGGCACATATGTCTACCTCTGCAAGGATCATGTCCTTCCACCCATGGGCCATGCAACCATCTGCCTGCAAAGGGCGACATTTGGGACCAGCAACAATGATAAGAATTAGTAAACATGCTCTGATAACCATAATGGTTCTGTTCTGATTAGAGAAAGCATATTCTAACCTAGCTGAGAGTTGTACTTCCAGGGACACGGGAGCTAACATCGTAATGCAGTCCATCCTCCTGTCCTGAGAACTGCCTTCCATTATGGAAAGACTAGAGGCCTGGTGCACAAATTCGTGCATGGGTGGGGTCCCTCAGCTTGGCTGGAGATCATGGCCAATCAGGGCTGCGGGAGATTGGCTGTGAAAGCTCACTGACCACCAGGGCACAGCTCCTGTATTGAGCATCTGCCCCCGGGTGGTCAGTGCACATCATAGCAACCAGTAGTTTGGTCCCTTAGGCTTTTATATATATAGACTAGGGGCCCAGTGCATGAAATCTGTGCATGGGGGTGGATCCCTTAGCCCGACCCGCACCCTCTCCAATCTGGGAATTTCTGTTTGTCTTTGCAATCATATGAGCAAATTGTCTGAGACCCCAACCCAGTTTGGTTTGGTGCTCACAGAATAATAGAGGTCTTTTTTTTTTCTTTGTTCCATTGGTGGGAGATTTCCTAGAAGTAGCACTGATATGCAGGATGGTCTTAGGCGACCCCTGTGAAAGGGTCGTTCAACCACCAAAGGGGTCTCAACCCACAGGTTGAGAACCGCTGGTCTAGGAGATCCCACAATGCATCTGCCACCAGAACTATGATTCCCAGGATTCTGGTGCTCCCCGCGCTCTGGGCTACCACTTCCGGTCCAGGGGCTGCCACCAGAACTATGATTCCCAGGATTCTGGTGCTCCCCGCACTCTGGGCTTCCACTTCCGGTCCAGGGGCTGCCACCAGAACTATGATTCCCAGAATTCCTGGTGCTCCCCATGCTCTGGGCTTTCACCCCCCAAGTCGCCCACTCTCTGTCTATTCTCCCGCTCTGCCAAGCCTTCCAAGCCACCCACTCCCTGTCTGCTTCCCTGCTCTGCCAAGCCCCCCGAGCCGCCCACTCTCTGCCTGCTCTCCTGCTCTGCTCTCTGTCTAGCGGCTTGGGGGGCTTGGCTTCCTCAGTCACTGAGAGCGACCAAGGGAGCCAAGCCGCCCGCTCTCCACCCACTCTCCTGCTCTCTGCTCTGCCAAGAACCCCAAGCTGCCTGCTCTCTATCCACTCTCCTGCTCTGCCAAGTACCCCAAGCTGCCTGCTCCCCATCTGCTCTCCAACTCTGCCAAGTACTCAAGCTGCCTGCTCTCTGTCCACTCTCCCACTCGGCCAAGCCCCCCAAGCCACCTGCTCTCCTGCTCTGTCTCCATCCAGTGGCTTGTGGGGCTTGACTGCCCTGTCCACTCTCCCACTTGGCCAAGCCCCCCAAGACACCCGCTCTCTGCCCCCTCTTTTGCCCTGCTCCCGGCTGCTCAGTGCCTGCATGCATGCGCACTGCCCACAGGCCCACCATGTTTGTTGGGTTAATTTGCATACTCACTCCTGATTGGCTGGTGAGTATAGTGGAGGGGCAGTCAATTTACATGTTTCTCTTTTATTATATAGGATATACAACCTATGGCTGAAACAATCTAGTCCCCGAGGCTCCCACCATTTACAACCCCAGCCCCAGTTGCCTGTAATCTGGTCCTGGGGCTCAGAGGCTTGTGACCTCCCCTTTGAGAATAAACAGGTAATCTTTTCTGTCAAAGAGAGTATAGGCAGCCTCCATTTTGGCTCCCTGACTTGCAGTTCCCCTAGGGGCGGCCATTTTGAAATAGCAAAGGTCAACCCCTCCCTTTTTCCTTTAAAATAGCCAATCACACAAGACTGGGAGCCTAAGCTCTTTAAATCAAGAATGCGGGACAGGGACTAGCCTGGTGGGCTCCTATGTGGGTCCAAGGCACGGGGAGGGGCTGGGACCATGAGGGTGGTGGCCCCCTGCAGCACCCACCAAAGCACCAAATGCAAGTGCCTCATTCCTGTGCCAAACTCCCCCTGGGCCCCCAGGCAAACTTTCTCCTCTTGTGACTGTGGCTGTAGGGACTGCTGGCTCCCCCAGACCCAAAGTCCTGGTCCCGGGGAGCCCTCCACCTATCCTTGCATGAATCGGGGAGCAAACAGGGGCTGGCCCCTTACCTTTTGGATGAAGATGGATGGGCCTATATACAAGTCAGAGCCAGAGGGTGTGAGACTTGTAGCCCATGGGAGTCATGGACCTGGGCTTCCCTGCAGTCCCCGTCCTGAACACTTGAGAAGCAGGGCACCTTTGCTCTCAAACCAATGGTCCAGTGGATGCCCTCCTCATGGTCACGGGCACCCAGGATCCCAGGGAGCTGGCCCTGGCCTGATGAGCCCGTATGACAGGCCTCTTTACGTGTTACATGTGCATTAAACAGGACAGATGCACCCATGACCTTGGTGTCAGGCTGTAGGTGAGCCCTGCCATCCACCCAGCTCAGCCTGGGAAAGATCCTTTCCCCGCTCCTGGTCACTGGGAACCAGCGGGCATAGGGCATTGTCCTGGGCACTCCCCGAAGTGTGCTCCTCAAGTGTCCTGGCCAGGGTCCCTTACCTCTCATTAACCAGTCACTGCTCCCCTCAGTGTTAACCTGTAACCCGAGGGAGGGTCTGTGTCCTTGGCATGAAGACCTCGCATGTCTCCTCTGCCTTAATGCCCCATGGGTATTCGTGCCTTCCAGTATTGTAAAGTGTATTCAGTGTGTAAATGAATGTTCCATACACCCTGTGTACAGCAGAGTTCTCTGCCCCCTCAAATCTCTATCCAGAGTATAATCTATTAACCTTGATTTTTTTTATTTAAAAAAAAGTTAGGGGATGCTAGGGGAGGGGGCAGTACCTGGAACCCGGAGGAAAAGGCTCATGGAGTGGGCAAGCACTGGCAGTCAAGATGAAGGTGAAGATGCTGAGCCAGAACCCAGACAACTATGTCCGCGAAACCAAGTTGGACTTATAGAGAGCTCAAGAAACTATGATCCTACCTTACATGTTTTTGAGGTCCCATGAGAATACATAAGCGCTTTAAATGCTACCAAACTGGAATGGGTATTTGCAAAACCATTCCTTGCTTCTCTGGATGGTCACCGAGATGGAGTCAATGCTTGGCAAATTCTCCCAAGAGCCTGGCTACTATCCTTTCTGGGACATGTGAAGGAGAGGTCAGAATTTGGAACTTGACCAAACAAAACTGTATTCTTATAATACAGGTATATGAAGGTTTTATACGAGGAATATGTACTCGTTTTTGTGGGAGTTCTTTTTTTTTCTGTTGGTGATGACAAAATTGTGAAGCACTGGCAAATGGATGGACCAGGCTTTGGAGAAGAGGAAGAGCCATTGCATACAATATTAGGAACAGTGTATACAGAAACTGATCATCACTGGAAAGAAGAAATTTTTGCCACATGTGACAAGAAGTAGACATTTGGGATGAACAGAAAACCAGTCCTATATGTTCAATGACCTGGGGATGTGACAGTATAAGTCGTGTTAAATTTAATCCAATTGAGACATTTCTCTTAGAAAGTTGGGCTTCTGACAGGAATATCTAATAACAGGGTAATATGCAAACTGGTCAGGATGCCGTCATGTAATGACCGATCAGCAGGCTGAGTGTAAAGCAGGAGTGGATGGGCGGGGACTAGCAGCATCGGTGGGCAGGGACTTGCACAGCCTGTGGACTTGAGGTTCATGTCTCTGTCCCCTGTACCAGCCTGGGGTACATGAGGCTCAAGTCCCTGCCCCCACCAAAGGGTAAACAGCAATATTAAAATATTTCCTCTAGGAGAACCAAGATGGCAGCATAGGTTAACACCGGAGATTGCTGCTTCGAACAACCAATTCAAATTACGCCTGAAACACGGAACGGACACCATCCAGAACCACAGGAGGGCTGGCTGAGTGGAAATTCTACAACTAAGAGTAAAGAGAATATCATACCCAGACTCAGAGGAGGCACAGTGCTGAAGTGAAATTCTCAGGTGCGTGCGCGCGCAGAACGGGCT